AATATTTTTATAATACTCTTTTAAAAATAAGAGAGAGATCTAGAATAGCTTGATACCTATTACGGACCTAAACGCTAACAAGAGGCTGAGGTAAGAAAAAAGGGACGATAACTAATCAATATAGGAGTCACGTGAAATAAGGAAATCTATAATATTTCCGTTAATACCTTACAATATAGAATAATATAGGGGAACTAGTAAACTACGAAACTAATAATTGTATGATAACTATAAATATAGGACCTAGATTATTATAGGATAAAAAGTACCGTAGAATAAGGGATTTCCTATAATACATTATAAAAAGGTATATATAAATAATATACTTAGCACGGTATAAAGCCTATCGATTAGGTAAAGAAATAAGGGGAAGAAGTAAGGGAAAGTAGTATATCTTGATTACTATTAAGACTAAATCTTGTTTTGCTAGCTAGATACGAGAGTATTAATTTATTATATAATATCTTCGTAGCTTCATGTATTACTGATAATATAAACGACTAGGTCTCTACTAAGTATCGTGATTATTCTATTGTAAGATAGGTCAAGTAATAAGGTCTAACTTTCTTTGGGATTATATAATATTACTTAATCTACTCCTTCTATAAATTAGAAATAATCATATATTTTACTAGTTTTATAGACCCTTTATAATTATCCCCTCTTTTAAGATTATGTAGCCTTAATCAATGCGTTTATTTTATTGCTATAATATAGATATATTAACGCGATATCTTTTTATAGGGTTTTTATTTATATTATTATTAAAATAATAAAAAGATTATATAATTAATTAGTAAATAAAGCCGCGTCAAATTATATATTCGAGTCTTTATTTATATTTTTAAGTAGTAAGTCATTTCTTCTTCTTTCTTTTCTATATAGTATTTATTATATTTTATAACCTATTTTTTACTACTCCTATTATTTCCCGTTTTCTTTCCGTGATTATTACTATGATTATATTTTATTATTATTATTCTAGTTAGTTATTATATTAGCCAGCGTATTTTATTACTCTTTTATTTATCTTTCTCTGGTATATTAAATATTTTCGGATAAAGATCAAGGCGTATAACTCTAAATCGCTTTTTATTATTAAATATAAATTAGATTAGCTGTTACGGTTATTTATTGATAGTATTCCGTCTATAATATATTATATAACATAGTATTTTCCGCGGTATCTTATTTTAGTTTATATTAATATTTTTTAGATTATAGTTTATAGATAATTCTTAACTAGCTGAATAAGGAGTTTCTAGAGTCTCTAGCTAGAAGTACTCTTAAAAAAGGAGAGGAAAAGAAGAATATACATAAATAATAAGAAAATATACTATAGCTAGAAAAGCTATAATAGAGGTCGTAAAAGCCTTTAATATAGTAGAGTTAATATATTATCGCCAGTTGTTTTTATTACTGATTTATACTTTATAAAAAAATAGCGTTTTAATATCTAATTATAGCCTTTCGTAATATACCCTTATTATAATATTTTAATCCTTAATACTAAATATATATCGAAATAGATATATTAAATTGAAGAATAGCTAGTATCCTTTTTTAGCTAAATAACTAAAATCGGTATTATTTAGTTACTTTTTAGTCGAAATTATTCTTTAAAATAGAGTTAAACTATAATATACTAGACTAAGAACTTTTTATAATTATATATTTCTTTAAATATTAGAGATAGTATTTAGATAACCGATTTACTATCGAAGTATTATTAGATTACTTAAACCTTTAATCCTTTATAAAATAAACTAAGCTAAATAAAAGATAGATATATTAATATATATATCTTATATTATTTAATTTTATAGTTAAGTATTAATTAAGAAAAACTAATCCTATAGATAGACTCTCGAGAAAACCTAATTCTATTTAGAGGGACACTCTAGAAAAGGAATTACTTATATTATTATAAAAAGAGATTATAACTAAAGAGCTATTATCTAGCCTATAGAAAGCTAGTATTTAAGTAACTATAGTTATAGATCTTATTATTAAGAAGTCCTAGTTTAAATCTAATAAGATATCTTTAAGGGAAAGCGATCCCTAATTTAATATCTATATAATAAAAAATAGAAGAGAGTCTATTAATATAAAAATAGCTAATTAGGCTATTTAGAAAAAACTAATAAAGAATAAAAGAATACTCTAATATAAGATATAAGGTATTTATAAAAAGAAGTATATCTATTTAGTAAAAGCTAACACTAAATTATAGATAATAATTAAATAGATCTAAAACGAGGATCTAGAGATATAAAGGCTAAAAGCTATATTAAATTAGATATCTAAAAGTTTTAAGAATTAGAGTATTAACCCTAAAAGCCTTCTTCGATTTAAGAATTGATTATTTATTCTAATAGAGAAGAATCTTAAGAAAAAGCTACTAAATATTTATTATAATAATTCTTTAGTAGGTTATTTTAGGCGAATAGAACTAAAATATTACTAAAAAAGAAGTTTTACTAGATTAGACTTTAGAATAATATAAAAGAATATATCTAGATATATATAATATATTAAAGAATAATAATACTAAAATATTACCTATATAGTAAACTAGAATTACTACTAATACTATTATAGCCTTTTAGCGAATTATTAATAAACTTTATTATAAGGTTATTACTAAATAGAAATAGAACCTAAAAAGTTAATATAATATTAGTTATTATTAATAGACTAATAAAATAGTCCTTATTCTTTGCTATATTAGTAACGATTAACACTAATATAAAAAGAGCTATTATAAAATATAAAAAATAAAAATAAAAGAGATAAAATATTACTTAAAAAAATCCTATAAATTAAATAGAAAACTACTAAAACTCTACTAGAATAATACTATTATTATTACTATAAAATAGTAATATAAATATAGAACTCTATTTAAAACTTAGAAATAGAAATAGAGAAATTCTTTTTTAACTATTTTAGATAACGCTTAGTATCAAGATTATTAATCGGATCGGAGATCGCTAGATTAGGACTATATTTATCTTAGGATACTATTTATAGGGCCGTTAAAAGCCCCTATTTCGCCGCTACTTAATATATAAAATTATTATCTCCCGAAACTAAGTAGAGAAAATGCTAGGACTAAAACTTTTAGAGATACTTCTCCAAGAGATCCTTAGATAGAAGAATATAAATAGCTATATTATAGCGATAAATAGTAATATATACTATATAAATCTTACGTTAGATTTATCAGAACATTAAGAAAATTATACTAATACCGGCGATCCTATTTACTATAATTAATTTACGAGCGGTAATAAAAGAGAATTAGCGGTAATATATTAACTCTATTATATTAAAGGCCTTTATAAGCTCTATTATAGTCTTTCCGGCCGTGATTAGTATATTATTCTTCTATTTATTCTTTTTTTCTCCCCTTTTTTAGGAGTACCTTTAGCTAAGGGCTCTAAGAATTCCTTATTTAGCTAATTAAGGATTATTTATAGATTATAGGTATCCCTAATTATATCTTCTATAATCTAAAGAATATTAATATAAATTAAAATAAGATACCGCGGAATATACTATATTATATAACGCGTTATAGGCGGAATACTACTAATAAATAACTAAAGCTATTATATCTAGTTTATATTTAATAATAAAGAGCGATTTAGAGTTATACGCCTTAATGTTACGAACCAAGCCACCTCACTCGCGCCAACAGGGGTACAAGAGGAAACCAGAGCCAACCAACCCCGCGGTGATGATGCAGGACAACAAGGGTATAAGTCACGTGACAATATACCACGATCCATCGCCAAGGAATGGTATATCGGATGGTATATCAATGGGACTACTACATGCCTGCATGCAGTATACCACAAACGAGGGCGTGGAATACTGGGCAAGGGATATATAAGGACAGTCTTTACCACATGTATTTAGTTCTTCGTGATCAATCCCATCATTGTTACTTGGAACCACCCTTTGGTACTTCACAGTTCGAACATAGCGACAACCCTCCAACGGTCTTGGGAGCTTACTTAGTGATCCTCGATCCCTAAGTGACTGACTTGACCGGCGCTCTAACTGGCACACCTTGCAAGCACCCTAGAGACCCGAGCCCATAGAAGGCCCCCGAGGCATTGGTACGGTTGCGGATACGCTTGAGGCCTGCAGTACTCCTAGAGAAGTATCACCTTTGCGGACGTTACTCACCGTGACCAGTTAGCAGTTCGTAACACATTGATCACCCTGTCATCGAACCGTGAAGTCCAAGCATCATGGCGTCGCACGGCAGTAACAACAAGGGCAAGGCGGTCGAGCCTCTGCCACCGAAAACGCAAACACGACACACCGACTTGGATTCGGACGATGAAGATGAGAAACGAGTCAGGGCACTGGAAGAACAGATTCACACCCTGATCAGCCAGCTCAACACCTTTAGCAGCAAGCATGACCACGACATTGGAGACCTTCGAGACTCAGTCGAGCAAAGTGCAGCCCAAATCGCCGCCTCCGCACCAGCATCTTCCGTGGGAATCAAGTTACCCAAAGCAGAGAGCTTCGACGGTACTCGATCTAAGCTTCGAGGGTTCCTCACCCAGATGGATATGCACCTTGACATGAACAGAGGAAGGCTAGTCAACGACGCCGCAAAAGTCATCTTTGTGTCATCATACCTACGAGGACAAGCATGGGATTGGTTGGAACCGTACATTCGAGAATACTATGAAAAGACTCCAGACGCCTGGTCTGCCATGGCCCAGGGCATCTTTTCGCGATACAGCAGCTTCCGACAATTGCTTGAACGAACCTTCGGCGATATCGACGCGAAAGCAACGGCTGAACGGAAACTTGCACGAACTCGACAAACCACCTCCGCAACAGCCTACGTTGCCGAGTTCATGGCACACGCCGCAATCCTAGGATGGGACGACTACGCTTTGATTCCACCATTCTATGGGGGGCTGAAATCACACATCAAGGACGAAATCGCTCGAATCGGACGACCTACCACCATGAATGAATTCGTCGACACTGTTGTACGAATCGATAACCGCTTCTACGACCGACAGCGAGAAGAAAGCGAACTTAAACAATGGCGCCGTAACCCAGGACGAGGAAACGGCGGACGATTCCAACAAAGACGGAACTTTGGGAGAAGGGACAACGACCCCTACGGACCCAAACCAATGGAACTCGATGCAGCAAGGCTGCCTACCGAAGAACAGAAACGACGCAAAAACAACAACCTGTGCTTCAACTGTGGTAAGCCAGGACACCGAATCAAGGACTGCCGAAGCAAGAGGCAGGAGAAACCCCAACAATTGAACGCGACCCAAGAACGAAGAGGTGCGTACGACACTACTGGCACCGAGAAACCAGAACAAGGGAAGCCTCAACGGCTCTACGCGACGCAGGAGCGCGACTGGGAAGGCCCCATGATTGTGGATGGGAGCAAGCCACCAGGACTGTATCGGGATGAGCGAATGCTCTCCGAAACAGACGACGAAGAATTCCCAGAGATCGACTATGAAATCATCGAAAACTCGCCGCAGATGTACGCGAAGGATCATGCCGCGGAACTGACACAAAACAACGAGGTCTATATGGACGACCTAGTCCTTAGGACGCCCGCGCAAGCTGGTAGCGCGGAGGAACACTTTGAGCGCTTCAAGCAAGGCTCAGAAGATATTGAGAGTCAAGGATGGACCCAGTACGGTCCCTGGAACACCATCGACTCCCAGGAATTGTCGGACGATTCCCAGGAGTGGGGCACAGGTATCCTGAGGACACCAATTGAAATCCCAGGAACGCCGGAGATCCCAGAAACTCCACCCACACTCCCAGAAACGGAAGAGACGATCCTGGAAACGCCTCAGGAAAACCCCAGGAACAGAGAAACCTCGAGTGACGAGACAAAAGGCCAACAGGATGAGTCGGCTCGGGAAGAGCTATCCCAGGACCAACCAACCTGTCCATGTGAGCATCCACGATGCGCGTGTCGAGGATACGCACGACACCCGAAACATGACATCAGGGCGGTTGTAGGATGCTACGACGACAATTGCATGCTCCACTACCCAGGGAAACTCAACCTTGGAGTTGAGCCGAGACCTTTGCGATGGGAAAAACGACCCCAGTGGAAGCCCGAATACACAGGAACATGGCACGGCAACAAGAAAATTGCACCCACACCACAACTCGCAGCAACACAGTGGGGGGCACATATGAAAGTCTTCGTCAACGTCGCATACAAGAATATGCGAGCGATGATCGACTCAGGAGCCAGCGGAAACTTCATGAGCCCACAGTGCTGTCAGGAATATACAATCCAGCGGCGACGAAAAGAGGAGCTCTTACCTCTTACTGGACTCAATGGAGAACCACTCAGCACGGGAATTACGCACGAAACAGGGGACCTGCCGATGGTTTTGGGAAATCATTTTGAAACAATCAACTTCAACATCACCAACCTCGGGCAGTACGACGTCGTGCTAGGAGTTCCGTGGTTACGAAGACATAACCCAGCTATCGATTGGCAGAAAGGACTCATTGTCTTCAACCGATGTGAATGCCGACAAACCAGTGAGACATGGACCGGGAACAGATACAGACCAGCACAGGGACCTAGTCAAGGGGTGACAGGTGGCCCTCGAGGCCCTCACGAAGGCAAACTTAAGAGGAGCACTCGGCCCAGAGGCGGGGCACAGTACAAGGCAACGGAAGCCAGTACCATCGTCAACACCGAGCAACGACCGGATATGACAGACGACGAGCTAAGGGAGTACGTGATGGTTGAACACGGCTCCACAGCCCTCTGTGCAACAGGGGAAGAAACACAGATTCCTGAGGAATACCAAGACTTCCAGGATGTGTTTACGCCACCAAAGGAGGGCACGCTACCAGAGCATGGCCCGTACGACCACGAGGTCAACCTCGAAGAAGGCAAGGAGCCTACATTCAGACCAATTTACCAGCTCTCACAGAAGGAATCGGAGACGCTGAAGGAATACATCGACACGAACCTGAGGAAAGGATACATTCGGAAATCCACCTCACCAGCAGGATATCCTATCCTATTCGTACCAAAGAAAGATGGAAGTCTTCGACTTTGTGTGGACTATCGACAATTAAATTCGATTACCATCAAAGATCGACATCCGTTACCACTGATTCACGAGATCCAAGACCGCATTCAAGGAGCCAAATACTTCACCAAGTACGACATCACTGAGGCTTACAATCGGCTCAGGATCAAGGAAGGCCATGAATGGAAGACAGCATTCAGGACCAAATTCGGACACTTCGAATATGTGGTTATGCCTTTTGGTCTTACCAACGCACCAGCATCGTTCCAGAGGTTCATCTTCACCGTTCTGGAAGAATACCTCGATGTTTTTGTTATCGCTTACTTGGATGATATCTTAGTATTCTCCAAGACCGAAGCAGAACATATTGAACACAACAAAAAGGTGCTGCAGAAGCTCAGAGAAGCCAAAGTCACTCTGAAGCTCAAGAAATGCGAATTCCACGTCCAGGAAACCAGCTTCCTTGGATACACCATCAGCCTCGACGGTCTAGGAATGGAAGAAGAAAAGGTCAAAAGCATTGTGGAATGGCCCACACCCAGAAACGTCAAGGACGTACAAAGCTTTCTTGGATTGGCAAATTACTATCGGAAACTAGTCCCGGGTTACTCGAAATACGCCGCCGGACTATACCGATTCACCAAGAAGGGAGAAACGTTCAACTGGGACGACAAAGCAGAAGAATCATTCCAAAAACTCAAGAGCTTGTTCGAGAAACGAACAGTCGTTGGAATCTTCGACTACGAAAAGCCAACCACGATGGAAACCGACGCATCAGACTACGCCCTGGGAGCACAACTGACCCAGCCGGACGAAAACGGAAAGCCCAGACCAATCGCATTTTGGTCTAGGAAGATGATCCCCGCAGAACTCAATTACGACATCCACGACAAAGAACTGCTTGCTATAGTGTCAGCATTTCAAGTCTGGAGAGCGTACCTCGAAGGAGCAAAGCATACTGTGACGGTCAAGACGGACCACCACAACCTGACATTCTTCACCACCACGAAGAAACTCACTCGACGGCAAGCTAGATGGGCTGAAACCCTTGCACAATACGATTTTAAGATTGTTCACTGCAAAGGGACTGAAAACGCTGTCGCAGACGCACTCAGCAGACGACCTGACTATCAGATCGGCACAAAGGAAGCGGAGCCCGCTATCCTCACTACAAACGACCAAGGAGACATCGTCTACAACCGACAAATACTCGCAGCAACCAGCGAAATCGAAGACGACGGATGGCTAGACAAGGTCCGAAGAGCCACCGCCGAGGACGAATCAATGCAAGCAGTCCTCGGGAACGAACGTCACAACGGCACTACAAGCGACGACGGATTCGTCATCATCCATGGCTTGATCTATGTTCCACGATCGCTGCAGAACGAAGTCATCAAAAAACACCACGACTTCCCGACGCACGGACATATGGGAGTTGAAAAAACAATGGAACATATCTCACGCAACTACTACATCCCGAACATGCACCGAAAAGTAAGGGGGTACATCAAAAGTTGCGACACATGTCAACGGAACAAGCCATCACGACACCTTCCTTACGGGGAAATGCAGACAGCAGACACGCCAACGCGGCCATGGGAATGGATTACCATGGACTTTATCACGAAACTACCAGAATCAGAAGGTTGCGATATGATCATGGTCATTGTCGACCGACTCACAAAGTACGCATATATGGTTGCGACAAAAGAAAGCATCGACGCAAACCGAATGGCGAATATACTACTTCGCTACGTTTTCGGAAACCATGGAGTACCCGACAAGATCACATCGGACCGAGACAAACTGTTCACATCCAATATGTGGCAATCATTTGCGGACCAAATGGGTATTGAGCACAGACTCTCTACTGCATATCACCCGCAAACCAACGGACAGACAGAACGAGTCAACCAGACTCTGGAACAATACCTGAGACACCATGTGAACCACCAGCAAGACGATTGGGCAGGATTGTTACCAATTGCACAATTCGCTTACAACAACGCGATGCATGCAACGACGAAGGAATCGCCGTTCTTCGCGAACTATGGGTATAATCCCAAGTTAATCGGAGAACCCCGAAACGAGAGAACTGTGGCAGAATCCGCAAGACTACTGACCACCGGGATCAAGCAACTCCACATGCAAATGGCTCGAGACATCGAATTTCTGAACCTACGCATGAAAACGCACTACGACCAGCGCCACCGAGCCGGCCCTGATCTGAAAAAGGGGGAGAAGGTCTACCTCCTACGACGAAACATCAAAACCAAGCGACCGAGCGCGAAACTCGACCACCTGAAGTTGGGACCATTCGAAATTGAAGAACAAACAGGACCAGTCAATTTTCGCTTGAAACTACCAGAAAGCATGCGACGCATTCACCCAACGTTTCATATCTCGTTACTCGAACCCGCACCAGAAAACGCCGAACTCGCTACCAACGTGGAAATCGAAGAAGAAACCGAAAACGAATATGAAGTCGAAAAAGTTCTGGACAACAAACGCATCAGTGGCAAGCCTCACTACCTTGTCAAATGGAAGGGGTACGATACCTCTGAAAACACTTGGGAACCTATTGAGCACCTGACGGGTTGCTCTCAGCTGGTTCAACAGTTCCACCAGCGGATAGATCGAAATTCCCTTCGGCAATCGCAGCCTCGACACTCCAGAAGCCAGGAGGCATCTGATCCAGAGACTGAGTCATCCTCATCAGACTAGCGTCTCCCGACGTAGCAGCCAATTGACGAATCTCCTGCTGCTCCGCCAACCGATCAAAATCACGAAATTCCTCGGCGGTAGGGGGATCCTCTTCGTTTAACCGATCCAACGTCGTCTGATCGTGATCCAACATCCGACCACCACGTTCTTTGAGAAATTGTTGATGTTTTTGGAGGCGAAGGACCTTTGCCATCGCCTCATTCATCTTTTGCGAATGCTGAAGAAATTGCTTTTGGGCCTCCTCGAGATCGGACGCCAACTTTCGTTCATTTTGTTGCAGGTCATCCCACTCCTTATCTGTGTGGAAACTCCTCTCACAAGTGTGTCCACGACGAGCACAAGTCGAACACTTCTTACTCTTCACGAAAGGACTCATGATGCAACACTTTCCACGAATAAGACAATAATCGCACGGGAAATCCACGGGGCGACCAGTTCGTTCAATCCTATCACCCAAACGAGCGTTATCAGCGTACTTGTTACGCTTCGGTTTAACGGCAGTGCGGGGGGACATGACGGGACAACATTGTGGGAACTCACCTAGAGGGGACACCGAGAATTTAAGGACTTTTCGAGGACGAAAATCTGGAAGAGGGGGAGATGATGTTACGAACCAAGCCACCTCACTCGCGCCAACAGGGGTACAAGAGGAAACCAGAGCCAACCAACCCCGCGGTGATGATGCAGGACAACAAGGGTATAAGTCACGTGACAATATACCACGATCCATCGCCAAGGAATGGTATATCGGATGGTATATCAATGGGACTACTACATGCCTGCATGCAGTATACCACAAACGAGGGCGTGGAATACTGGGCAAGGGATATATAAGGACAGTCTTTACCACATGTATTTAGTTCTTCGTGATCAATCCCATCATTGTTACTTGGAACCACCCTTTGGTACTTCACAGTTCGAACATAGCGACAACCCTCCAACGGTCTTGGGAGCTTACTTAGTGATCCTCGATCCCTAAGTGACTGACTTGACCGGCGCTCTAACTGGCACACCTTGCAAGCACCCTAGAGACCCGAGCCCATAGAAGGCCCCCGAGGCATTGGTACGGTTGCGGATACGCTTGAGGCCTGCAGTACTC